CGCGCAGACGGGGGCGACGCGCAGGCCAAGGAGCGGGCGAGGGAGCTGGCGCTGCGCTACGCCTTCGTGGCTCTCGCTGCCGGGACGGAGTTGAAATCTGACGAGAAGATGGCTTTTGCTTATGAACCTTGTTATCTCCACTAAAACAAAATGAGGAGTCTATAGTATCTGGCTGATAATAAAAGCTGTATGTATTCAAGTTATCTTTGATGATGAACTCACCCAAGATTATTTCCTTTACCTTACATTTCTTAAACTAATTGTAGTGTTGTAACAGATAAGTACGTTTCATTTACCACTGGAGAGAAACTTGCGCATAACTCAAACGACTCATGGTAAGTAAAGAGACACATCTCACATCACTTTTTGAAAGGTTCACAAGTGCAAGTGGAACTTAAAATTGGGTGTCAACAGGAGATGCGCGTAAGGTTAAATGGTTTCTGATGGATATCACTTCGTCACTTCGGTGTAATTGCACCGAAGAAGTGAACCGAAGAAGTGAACCGAAGAAGTGAACCGAAGAAGTGAACCGAAGAAGTGAACCGAAGAAGTGAACCGGGAGTGACGATTCGTTATTGCAAGAAAATATAATCTTTAACTGTATTTTAAGAATATAATGAAATGGACTTATCGGTGGCGTAGTTTCATTTTTTATTGTTGACTATGAATTTTCGAAAACTGTAAAAGTTTGAAATTTTTGGCGTCTTCCTACATTTACAAAATTGAAGTCAGATTTTTCCTCTAAATAAAATTTTTTGTCCATAATTATTTTTTCAATATGATAATGAGCTTCTTTTAAAAAAAATTAGCCGTTTTCGTGCAATATTGTCTGCAATTTTGCAATATTAAAAAATAACAAACAAGATTTCCTTAAAACGTATTTTTTGACAAAGTTTTCTTTAAATTTTTGAAAGAGACAGGTAAATGTACTCTGACGTCACATAACCGCCATATTGCTCTATTAGTTTGTTCAAAAATTACAACAATATAATTTTTTGACCAGTCTCTCACGTCGTTGATATTTAAGAGCGGTACAATAGTGGGTTGTTAATACTAATGCCGCGCGGTGGATTTTAGGCGAATACATTTAAGTAGTTAAATCGTGCGAGCAAAGTAGAGATTTCAAGCTATCTAAAATAAAAGTATTTTTCATCCCAATTTGCGGAGTTGTGCCGATTTGAAAAGCGTTTATTTCTATAGTTTTAATTTTAAGTTTTCATTTCATTTTATTTTCTTAAGTTTTAATTTCTATAGTTGAAATTTGTCATATTCGGCCTAATGTGCACATTGAGTCAAATAAGTAATGTTTGGTGATCATAAAACTGTTGCGGGATAACGTGGGCACTACTTCAAAACTCCGTTTATTAAAATAAAAATTAAATAAGATTTATTTGTTATTTTATTACAAGTAGCTTAAGTGTCGAAAAATCTGTTTATGGGTTTTGAGGCATCCCTAAAACAAATTAAAAACTTTTTTATTGTTCCCGATGTTGTTCTTGCATCGAACACACATTGACATCTACTTTTTTCGATACAGCTTTATACAGATATAAAATTTGTATTCTAGCGCCTCAGTGAACATCGTATTAGTGTGGAATGTCTAACGTTAATTCAGTCAGTGTTATTGTAAAGTGAAAAATACAAAGGAATTCCAAAGAGACATTCACATGTAAGATTTGGTTCATGTAAGCTGTAACATCAAAGATCCTATTTAAATATTATGAAACCCTGTATCGTAAAATTGTGTTGAAAACTCTTACGAAAAACGCCATTTAAAATAACTTTTTGCAAATATGTAATGCTTTTTTTCCCGGGTTCAAATCCGATATGGATGTGGGTCCTTAAGTAACATCTTACTCTGCTTGTAGGTAAACCTTGACCTGGTTATATGAATATTATAAGGTATATATTATAAGGTATTATTTAAGGTAGTGTTGTTAATTTGGTACCTAAAAGGGATAATATAGACATGTTTAACGTACTCTACATTTGATTTTTTATTCAATCATCAAATTGAGTTTTACACAATGTTCAGTCAAACCATTTCAGTCCCCCTGTAGCCGTATGGCTACATCACTTTCTGCGTCTGATTATACTGCTAGCATATATTTTTAACCAATAAACGAGAATTCTATTAATTTTTGTAACTGACTTAAATCATTTAAGAAATGGATCAGGGATTTACATTTTTCTGTGGGTTTCTGTAATAATTTTCTCTTTGGAGTGCGTCCACATATTATTCACGACTCTGTAGAATGCAATTTTTTGTTGAATTTCTCAGCGATGGTGAATTTCTTAGATACATGTATATTCCGGTTTGAAGAATAAGTTTTTTTACAGTGCAGATAATCGCAATATATGGAGTTACGTAAAAGCCTCTAAGTTATTTGAATGAGAAATGAGTTTTTGCTATATGGCTACTATGGTCACAAGGAGCATTTATAACCTACAAATTGAGTTTTATTAATATGTATAGTAACTTCGTTTAGAAGGATATATAAACCAATTTTGAAGCAAAGATATTTTACTACAATAGCCTATCTAGCCGTGCTGTGAAGTCGGATATTCCATGTAATTTGATTTTCCCGCGTTTTGAGTGCCCAATGGTCTACAGTAGAAACATTTACCCCATCTACTAATATTTATAACAACATAAACCATATCTGTTCTTTTAAATGAGATGCACAGGTCCTCCTTCCGTGAATTACCGAACTCTGTAGCACCGTATCGATTAATCGTCAGAGGACATGCCAGGTTCCTGACCTCTATTGGTGAAAATGCGCATTAACAAGTGCGTCTGACCTGCATTCTGGTGAGAGCAGCGTCACACCGTTTCTAGTTCATTCTATTGAAACCAGAAAGCGTGACAGGGACGGACTAAGGATAGGGAGTATTTTCAACATTTACTGGAAAAGGTTGTAAGATTACGAGGAACGTAATTCAAAAACGTTTTGTTTCAAACATCTATCAAATCTTGTTTTATACTTTCTTGTTACAAAAATACATAGTAAATTTGCCAAAATATACATATTTTTATGTTACAGCATATTTATTCCTGACGATAATGGCACATGAAGAAATACAGCGGATGAAAATGTTTTACTGCAAAAATATTCCACTGAAAACGTGTTCAAACCAAAATAGTTTATAACACCGAGAAATTCGATTATAATGTGGCCGCCAATGAAAATATTATAAACGACTATTTGAAAGGAGTAAAAGTAATAAGTTGGAAGTTTATTACTTCATGAGATGAGACCCAGCCTACGTAAGGATACACAAGTAAGAATGAAAGATTAAATGGCCTTCTGTTTATTATTCGAATTGTTTGTAAACATGATGCCACATTGATTGTGAAAATGAAGATTTCCCATATCCCATCACCTTCGAAGATTTATAACACTTAACGATTCATATATTGTGGCTAATGCGTTTCTAGACGTATTTTTTTATTTGGTGGATATACTTACAATTTGCTCTAGCACAACCTTGTAAAAGCACAATTTTAAATTGTCTAGCACAATGTAAAATTGATACATATACTATACTTAAAAACGTAATTTATTTAAAGTGCATTAAATAAGTCAGTCGAAATGAATCAATAGTATATTTAGAATACAATTAAATTTTGATCTGAAGCAGATATCACCAATCGTGATTTCTAAGAATGCAAAGCCGAATAGTTGGGATAAAAGTTTTGTTTGCTGCCGTTTCCAGACACGTCGTAAATTGTTGCTTAATTGAAGATGCGGTGAATAGTCTAAACGTAGACCTCTCAGCGGCTCACTTTTCTAGGCTATTTTCGTTCTGGCTCACATTCCTAACTTTTCTGCACAAGGACACACTTTTTGCTTGTTAAAAACATTGAATTATTCATTTCAGTTTTATGTATAATTTTGAAAGTATAATTATTCTTCTAAAACTAAAGCAGGGAGAAAACAAAAAACACTGGAAACTAGTTAGCTAAGAAAAATAATATAACCCTGTAAAAACCTCATTTCTGGAATTCCCCATTTCTGGAACTGTAGGTACCTTCATTGCGTGACTAGTGAAATACATGTAACCTTGTGGGCCGGTGTCCGCCACCATGCGTCGCCCAGTATAATACGGCTTTGGAATTGCGTTAGTGATATTTTTGGCGCTATAATATCTAATATTGCGAATAATAAAGAAGAAATGCATATTAAATTGATATTGTGCATAATGAACATATAGTATTTAAGTTGTGTTCTGAACATTTAGCAATCATTACGGGACAAGGTCGGTCATAACAAAGGTCGCATGACGAGGTACTCCTGCGGAAGTTACTCAAAAGCCAGTTGTGGACAGCACCAAGCAAGTGCTGCTGTGAGAGCCAAGTTATTTAGGATATAACTCTTTAAAATGTATTTTGCAACTCCGTATCATGCATGTTCAATCCATTTAATCGTTTCATTGTAAAAATGAGTTTTCTTCACTTTTACCCAAAATGGTCAGTCAGACCACTGGCCAAGTGCACCAACATTGCTTAAAATTCAACT